AGAAATACGTATCACCATATGGGTGACACACGAAAGGGCTTTCAGAAAGTAGTAGTTTGAAAATATTTTGAGGAGCGTTGCCACCTGTTTGAAATGTCGAATTTAGTTTATTTAATCACAAAATATACGAAATATCATAATATGGATGTCAAACGATGGAGTGTTAAGAAATCTTTATTTTGAACGCTAAGAATAATTTTGAGACGTTGCCACCTATTTAAAAAGTTAAATTTCAAATTATTTAATACGTTTAATGAATTATTAAGATATGGGTATCAGTCGAAGGGGGTTCGAAAAACTTTTATTTCTGAACTGTACTTAGCAGGGTTGCCACATGTTTAAAAAATCAAATTCCTCTTAATTCATCAGTTAATTAAAATATCGCAATGTCAGGCGAGGGAGAAATAACAAGGATTAAGCTTAAAAATACTTTTGAAGAGGGCTGCCATCTCTTTGAAAGGTCTAACTCAATTAACTAGTACAAAAAGTATACGAAATATAAAAATTCCGTAAACAAAAGAAAGAATGTTAAGAAATCCTTAGTTTGACCATTTGGAATGTTTGAAGATGGTTGTTACGTGTTTAAAAAGATACATTTAAATTATTGATTTATCTAGGAGGGTTGCTATTTGTTCGAACAATCAAATTCAAATTAGTTCTTCAGTTTATTGAAATACATGTGTATCACACGAAAGAGATTTAGGGCCGGTTGTTCAATGTCTGATTAGCACAAATCAGAGGTAGAAGCTCCGGTTAAGCACAACGACTGCTTTATCGATCACATGTTATATGCATGATGTCGAAATGTTGTTGTTGTTGTAGCGTTTACAACAACCCCGCCCAGATCGGTTGGTATCTCAGTCGTTGTCGTCAAGTTCCACTAACGGCAACCCTAGGAAGCGTGCAGCTTCTGTGGGATTTGTCCACAGGGACAAGGCCGTTAGGGTTGTCGGGTTTTCCGGGCATGCGAAGAGATGGTTCGAGTCATGTGGGGTCTCTCCGCATGCCGGACACTCATTCGGCACATCCTCATTCAACCTACTCAAGTAGGAGTTCAACCTGCTGCAGTAGCCGGAGCGAAGTTGTGCGAGTGTAGTGCGTGTCTCCCGAGGCAGATGAAGCTCTGTCTCGTCTATGTCCGGGGGTGGTATGCCTAGAACGGCATTCACAGGTCTAGAGTCTACATAACTCGAGACTGAGTCCCTGTGAATGCCGTTCAGGGCCTGTCTGTACGCTGTCGGGTCCAGAGGTTGCTTAATGAACCTCTGGACTTCGTCCGTCAGTTCATATCTTCTTCTTCTGTGGCTCCCGATCAGGAACTGCTTGCAGAGCATTATATTATGCTCCTTAACTGGGAGCATTTGCGCCTCGCCGTGCAAGTGGTGTTCAGGCGACATCAGGAGGCATCCCGTCGCTGTCCTAAGTGCCGTATTTTGTACCGTCTGTAGCTTCGTCCACTGCGTCCTACTAGTCCCCGCAGGACCCAAATTTTTCAGCATCAGCATGCATATTCCGTCGGGACCCATGGCTTTGGAGGCTTTCGCCTTCCCGATGGGCACCTGAACTTCACCGCAAGTGAAAGCAAGGGGGGCACAAGTTGTTGGCAGTTTGTGCAGCCTTCTGGTCACTCGACGCTTGGCTTTGTCCACCAGAGGATGCAGTATGAACTGCCGGCTAAAATAGCTCGCGCATCGCTCCGGGTCCGACGAAGCATGGTCGCCGAAGAAATGTCGAAATCGTCGATAATGATGTTTAACCGGCAAGTAGTGATAACCAGACATTGAACCACCTGCACTTAAGAAGATTTTAGTTTAGAAATACTTTTGAAAGGGAATTTCAAAAATGAGAGGTCGAATTAAAGAATTAACCTGCAGACCTTACCTTAATTAAGAAATTTTTCATCGGTCTAGGGTGATTTGAAATTTGATGAAACTAAAAACATGTACTATGCCAGACTGCTATTCACTAGCACTCTCTGGCAGTGGCACTGGCGGATCTTTTATAACTCTGCCTAACATTTGGAATATTTTTTAAGTTTTGAAAGTAAGTTTTGGGCGTTTTAACGCCATGCGGGTTCACTAGTTATGTTTATTTGTAGAAAAATTCTTCTAAACATTATTAGATATTTTATGAAAAAAAACACAATGTGCATGCAACTCAGTGTGCTTTTGTAGAATTTTATGTTGATTGTTGATGCGTACCGATTAAATTTATTATGGACCAACAAAAACAGATAGCCAATTTAGCAGCACATGAACATGATTAAAGACCTACTCTGATCTAATCAATCAATAAACCGTTTTTTAGTTCCATTTGACAATGTGTTCGCGCTTTTGGGTATTCGTTGTATCTTGCGTAAGTGTAACGGAATTAGCGTGTGATTTGTTGTTGCTGGTGGTACAATAAATACACTTGCAACAACAATCACACGCTCTTCCAGTTACACTTACGCAAGATACAATGAATTCCACTAATGTGAAAACCAACCTTAACTTCCGCCACTATCTTTGTTCTACCTCAAAATTCTACCCTCAACGTCAGCATTTTAATTCATCCATCATCGTTGTCGTCTATTTCAGCTAGGGGGAGGCACAGGAAGTGTGCTACATCCAGAGAGGTTGTCCATAGGGACAGGGGCGTTAGCTGAGTGGGATTCTCAGGGCATGTGAAGAGGTGCCGGGAGTCATGTGGCGACTCTCCACATGCCGGGCATTGGTTGGGCACATCCTCGTTGATTCTACTCAGGTAGCTGTTGAGCTTGCTGCAATAGCCAGAGCGAAGTTGGGCTATTGTTGTGCGGGTCTCCCGAGGCACACAAAGTTCTGTCCCGTCCACGTCCGGTGGTTGTGTGCCTAGAACGGCATTCACAGGGCGGGAGTCTACATAACTTGAGACTGATTCCCTGTGAATGCCGTTGAGGGCCTGTCGGTAGGTTGTCGGGTCCAGAGGTTGTTTAATATACCTCTGAACTTCGTTTGTCAGTTCGTAAAGATGCCTCCTGACGTGCCGTGGCGAGGACTCTTCCGCGAGCAGTTGCTCGCTGGGATGGCCACGTCTGTAGCTCCCAGCGAGGACCTGCTTGCAGAGCATTAACTTATGCTCCTTTACCAGGAGCATCTGGGCCTCGTCGTGAAGGTGATGTAGAGGCGTCATCAGGAGGCATCCTGTCGCGGTTCGTAATGCCGTGTTTTGGCAGGTCTGCAACTAAATCCACTGCGTCCTGCCATTCCCCGGCGACCATACGGGCGCTGCGTAATTCAGAACCGGCCGGCCAATTGCCTTGTATGTTACCAACAACGTTTCTTTATCTTTGCCCCAAGCGCTGCCGGCCAGCGACTTGAGGACATTGTTGCGGCTCTGTACTTTGTTGACAATTGCGGTTGTATGCGCCGAGAAGGAGAGCAGACTGTCGAAGGTAACTCCGAGGATTTTCGGGTTATTCAACGTCGGTATTGTTACTTCATCGACGTGAATACCCAGTGGCAGTCTGACCTCCTTCGTCCAGGTGGTGAAAAGGGTTGCCGAGGATTTCGCAGGGGAGTGTCGATTGTCTTCGTTACCGGGGAAAGGAGAGTTATCGGGCGATAAGACTCTCCTTTGTTGGTTGGTTTCCCCGGTTTGTGCAGAGGGACCACTCTCCCCATTTTCCAGATGTCTGGAATGGCGAGAGTGGCCATAGACAGGTTGAGTACCTCCGTTAGGTACGCTACTCCCTCAGGACCCAAATTTTTCAGCATCAACATGCATATTCCGTCGGGTCCAATGGCTTTGGAGGCTTTCGCCTTCCCGATGGCTACCCTTACCTCACCGCTGGCCAAAACAAGAGGCGCACTAGGTTTTGGCATTTTGTGCAGCCTTCTGGTCACTCGACGTTTGGCTTTATCCACCGGAGGATGCAGAATGAACTGCCGGCTAAAATAGCTCGCGCATCTCTCCGGGTCCGACGAAGCGTGGTCACCAAAGTCTATCTCGACTCTGTCGTCGCGCTTCGTCGGGTTGGACAACGACCTCACGGTTGACCAAAGCTTGCTCACACCAGTTTTCGTTCACCACCATTCGCTTTCCTTCTCTATCTAATCCCGAGAAGCCAGAATTTGCCAGCAATTGTACGCCATTGTCTGAAACCTCGTTTGGTATTAAATGGCTCGGAGTTGATGGTTTTGCTCAACTTCATTTTACACAGCCGTATTAGTTTCGCGGGGATAATAAATTCAGACATCGCATAAAGTGAAATTCATTTCGCGCTGTCGAAAGCGGCTTTGTGGCTCCGTCACTCAAACCATACGGCATCACCCAAGAAGCGCACAGGAGCAACAGCCTAACTCCCTTTCTTCTTTGGGGAATTTCAATGATGTTGCAACAACAAATAGTACAATTAGAGCCTTGACGAGTTAACTCTCATTCGGCAGTTAACTACAGGTTTTCTGTACAAAAATTGATAGTTAACTGCTGAATTTGAGTTACCCCCCACTGTGAAAACGGCACTTATCGTTCCTGCGACAGTCGGGTCTACGTAACCGGCACGACCCAGATTTATATCTGGCCAAGGACTAACATTCCAGCATGGTTACCCAAAACCTCTTTTGGAAATTGTATGCAGCTACGATAACAAGTACAATTAGTATGCATATTGGTTTGTAATTAGTAAACATTTAAGAACGTTTCCTAACAATCTTTTAAGCGTTGCTTTACCAAAATAATTTAATTTCGATAGAAATTTAACGAAGTTATCAGATTAAATAAGAATCAATAAAAAGTGCAAATGCCTCATTAAAAACTGCGTATCATTGTACGATAAGGTTTATTTATTGTTAAAGTATGACTATGGAAGCCCGCTAATAACCCTTTGTTAAGAGTTTTCATAACAAAGGATTCGTAAGACATTCATATTTTTATAAACGTATATGTAATTGCAGTAAATCACCCCCTGCATTTCCAATATCATTACTTATGTATTTGCTAATATGTATGAAAATACGTATCGATATAAAACTACGTACCTAATTTGCAGTTTTTTCCTTTTGCGTTGTTCAAGAAATAATTGGTTGTGTAAACAAAATATTGCTTAATTTATGTGGCGTTGTACATACCCATGTATGTAGGTGTTTGCAATAGCTTGCAAATGGAAAAGAAAAATACGTATATTTTGTCTGGTCACAGCTCTTATCCACTAGCTTCCACTGAAACTGAGTGTTGCGAAATCTCCACACAAAAATACAAGCAGCAAAATAAAATAGCTAATTACACTTTACTATGGAAATTCGTATGCCTTACTAAATTACTTTTAAATTTCCAGTTCTACGACGAATGTTTGCTTTTCAGTATCCCATTTTTCACTTTGAATTTAGCACGATTACATACAAAGAAATAAAATTAGAGGACACAGTGTCAATATGAAATAAATTTCGACTTGATATCTTCTTTTTGTTAAGGTTTATTTCAGTTCACAGCTGCTGTTGAAGTGCACTAAACTTTGTTGTTTTGCTATGGAAATTCTACTTGTGCCGTGCGAATAAACAATGCACAATATGGCCACCAATCAGATAGCATGCGGAAGGTTAAACATGGTTGTAGGTGACAATCAGCTGTTCAATAGAAGGGCAGTGTGCACAAAAGCTGCCACTTAATTTTTTCTTCTTGTCATTTAAAAAATAGAGGAATTTCAGAGCAAGTCGAGTACCGGTTGAAGAGGAATTAAGCGCTCGTCATCAACCAAAAATACAAGATTACGCAAGAACGCGACGTTGTATTTGTAA